CCAGGCCCTGAACCTCCAGTGAGGACACCAGAGTGGCAGGGACCCAGAGTTTCTGCCCCTAGGGTGCTGCCAAGACTGGGAGGGTGCCACACTTGGTCTAGACCACCCCACAGAAAAGATACTACTGCTTTCTCTTCTTCTATCCTGACGCTTTGGAAACGTTTTGTAAGGCAATTTGAAACCACACCCTTTCCCCCCCCCCCCCGCCCCAACCCGGGACAATCCTGATGGCTACACGTCCAAAGATTAATAAAGACCTTTGATGTGCTTCTTCAACGACTGGGATCATTTGTTGACAAATACAGCGTCAGTTAATGGGCTAATTCTGAATTTTAATGTGGATCTTGTTCCAGTTGCCCTGGGTTGGTTGAACTTTGGGGTTAGGATTTCTCTTTGCTGAGGCTGCCCAGGGACGGTCCGTGTTCCCCTCACTCTTGCATTTTGGACGCCGGCTCAGAGGCAACCCGGCGCACACACATCCCCTTTCGGGTCCTCACGGGGGAGCTGTCATCTTGCAACCACATAGTCATCACATGCCATTACAGGGGCAACCCGGCAGGCGGGCCCCCCTCCCAAGGCCGCCCCAGCCCCCGCGCAACCCTGGCCAGGCTGCGGCGCCAACACACAGGAGCCGGCCGGGTCCTGGGTCTCCGTCTCTCTGCAGGAGAGCGGGGAGCGCGCTCGCCCACGCCCACGCCCCCCACACTCCTGGGCGCACACTCGGGCGCACACCCCTGCGCGCGCGCGCCGCCGCCGCCACACACGGGCGCACGCACACCGCAGCCGGGCCAGGCACTGCCTTGTCGGCAGCGGCCCCGCGTGCTCCGGGGCGCACAGACTGTCCCCCCAAGGGCGGCCGCCGGCCGCCCCGCCCCGCCCCGCCCCTCGAACCCGCCGAGCGGTCCCAGCTGTGGGCTGCAAAGTTTCGCTGCGCGAGTCCGCTGGGGCGTCGCGTCAGCTCGGACTTGGCTCCGCTCCACGGTGCTCCGGACGGCCGTGACCGCTGGCCCGGGGCTCGGGCGGCGCGGACAGACCTGAGCGCTCGGCTCCTGCCCGCCTCCACTCCGCGCCCCGCGCGGATCTCGGCATCCAGAGCCCTCGCGCCCTTCGGCGCGCCCGCGCCTTCTCGCCTCCTCCCCGGCTTCGACCCATCGCCGCCGCCACCCACCATGGCCCGTGGCCCTGTTCGGACGAGCCCGGGACCGGGGCCCCGGCTGCTCCCGCTGCTGCCTCTGCTTCTGCTGTTGCTCCGGGACGCAGGCGGCAGCCACCAGGCGCCCGCCAGGTCCGCCCCGCCTGCAGCCGCTGATGGCCTGGCTGGGATCAAAGACCCCTGGCGGTCCCCGGGGGAGGCCGCCGCCACTCTGGGCCCCGGCGCCCAAGACATGGTCGCTGTCCACATGCTCCGGCTTTATGAGAAATACAGTCGGAGGGGCGCGAGGCCGGGAGGGGGCAACACGGTTCGAAGCTTCCGTGCCCGGCTAGGTAAGTAGAGGGGGTCCCGGACACCCCCCTTTTCCTTCTCCCCCTTCCTCACTTGTTCATCCTCCCCACCACTGCAACCACTTCTTCTCTTCCTTCTATTCATAGACTCATTCATTCATTCATTCATTCACTATTCACCAAGCACTCTATGCCAGGCCCTGAACCTCCAGTGAGGACACCAGAGTGGCAGGGACCCAGAGTTTCTGCCCCTAGGGTGCTGCCAAGACTGGGAGGGTGCCACACTTGCTGGTCTAGACCACCCCATACACAAGGCTTTAAGCACAGGGTGGAGATGGTCCTGGACTGGGGAAGCTCCTGACTGGTGGTATGCATGTCATAGGACTCAGTTGTGTTGGCTCTTGACAGATGAGAAGGGCACTGAGTGGGAACAGTCAGGTGGGCATAAGGCAGCTGGGATAAAAGTGCCAGACACCGACCCAGGCAGAGGGCGTGAACCTCTAGCTGGGGGCACTTAGTAGGTTCCAGGGCTGGGCAAACAGAATGAACTGAGAAGGGCCTTGGGTGTCTGGTCTTGGGTACACACAACGGAGGCCGGCAAGGCGCTAACATGAAATGTTCAGACCATGGGGGTTTGAGGAAGGATCCAGAAGCTTGGGCAGTGGGGGCATCATACTCCCCTCCCACCCTTGCCCCACCTCGGCAGATCCTTTGTCCTGTCCTTCACACCTTGGATGGAGCTGCACCGAGGTCACTTAGAGCACCTCCCCACCCTGCTCTGAGAGCACTTCCATCCTGCAGCCTCAGCCACCTACCGGCCCTGCTGGCCTACCTCTGGGGGCCCCGGGTGAGCAGAGAAGAGGCACAGACTGGTGGCAGGGGTGGCGGGAAAACCCTGGTTGTCATGGAGACCACCCATGGTCACAGAATGCCGTTCTAGAAAGTGTGGGTAGGGGTCCACAGCAGCCCTAGTGGGGGGAAAGGCCATTCATCAGGAGAAACAAAAACAAAAACAAAAACAAAAACTGTTGGTCTCTAGGGACCAACCCCTCTTGAGGTGGAGAGGAGCAAGCCCAACATTGGGGCCAGACAGTCTGGGATCAGGTCGGCCACCTGTTGACTGCTGGTTGTGTGACTCAAGGTAACACCTGTTACCTGGGAAGCTGGGCCTTGCATAACAGTGTACTGAGGAATACCTGCCACAGAGAGGCCTGGGCCCCCATCCGCCACTGAGCAGACCACTTGGTACTGTTCCAGGGTTCCATGCCAACTGGGCCTAACTCCATCCTCCCTGGTAATTTTGATTCATCACATGGGGTCCATTTCTGGAGTATCATTATTAAATTAAGCCAGTCAAGAATCATCTAGCATGAACATGACCTTCGGCAAATCACTAAGCCTCTGTGGATTTTACTGTACTCATCTACAAAATGGGCAGGTCATGCCAGCATCTTTCCTGTGGGGTTGCCCAGAGCCTAACACTGGCCAGATTAGGTGTTTTGGTGCATGTTGTTCCCATGGAAATACAAAGCATTTGTGTTCATATAGGTGTACACTTGACTTTGCATCCATTAACTCAGGCCTCAGAGCCTTGTCTTTGAGGAAAGCAAGGTCAGCGAGGTCCATCCTGCAACAGGGGCGAGCATGTCCACTGAGCACATTCACTGCTGCAGCCCCCAGCATGGAGGTGCTTAGTCTTGTCTTTCCATTTGCACAGAACGGGGGTAGCACAAATAACATTGATGCATAGGGTGTTAGTCCGAAAAGGAGCTGAGGACAGTACTTCACATCCAGCCATCCCATTTTACAGATAAGAAAACTGAGGCTGGGGTAGGGGGCCATTCACAGTGGCAGGGGCTGGCACCTCCCATGTGCCAAGCCAGTGCTGTTCCCACTGCTAGCATCTCTCCCCACCTCCATCAGAACTCAGCCCAGGGCTTGGGAGACAGAGGGTAGAGCAGACCATTCTTTGAGAGATCAGGATTATTCCAGACCAGTCTGTGACTTATTTGGAACCATTCGACAGCCTTGGGTACAAGTCCCACCTCCACCAGCTTTCCCTCTCTGAGCATGGGTTTCTGTGCACACAGCGCAGAGGTATGATTCAGCGGGATGAGGTGGGTTTGTGCCTGACATAGCATCGGCCCAGGCAGTTTGGTTTCTCACCTCCTCCCTTGATTCACATTATTAAGTGGCTCACACCCAGCCCCTCGTCAGCCCTCAGAGATGCCTGCTTTGTGAGCCAGCGACCCGGCTGTAGGAGCTGTGAGCCTGGGCAGGGACCCCTCATCTTATGGAGGAGGCACCAATGTGGGGGCTTTAGCTCTGGTCCTGGAATATACTAGTACCATTCCGTGGCATGACAGTGGCCTCTGCAGCCTCAGTGGGGTAGTCCCTGCCACCAGGCAACATGGTTCAAGTTCTGAGTGCGGGCTGTGAGCTGGACTGCTGAGGTCCAGATGCTGAGTCTATGACCAGGGCAAGGGACTGAACTTGTCCATGACTCAGTTGTTTTTTTTTTTTTTCTTCACTTCTAAAATGGGGCTGGTAATGCTCCCTTCCTTATAGGGTTTTTAAAATGAACTGAGATATATCAAGTGTTTAAGACAGTGCCTTGGGCATGAGTTCAGTAATTCATTAGATGCTATAATGTGGACAGCCCTGGGTACAAGTCCCAGCTCCACCAGCTATAATGCTTCATAATGCGGACAGACCATACCAGAGGAGGCCAGAGAAGGGACTATTATTTTAGCCACCCTTCCTCCCTCTCTTCCATTGCTTCCTGAAGTGCGTCTTGGTACCTATTAAGTCTACAGCAGTGGAGGGCACTTCCGAGCCTGACCCTAAGGCTTAAGGTTAAACCTTCCCCCCACCCCGTCCTAAACAATTGTGTTTAACTCTAAGCTTTTCCACTGACCTGTGTGAAATCGGGCAATTTACTTAACCTCTCTGAGCTTGATGTCTTCATCTCTAAATGAGAGTAATAATACATACTTATCTGCCAACAAGGCCAAAGGTCACGTTCGTTTCAGTTCCTCAAGTATTTCCTGAGCATCTCATTAGGTGGCAGGTGCTGTAAGCTCAGAGGACACAAAGATGCACAGACTCTGGGCCCTGCCCAGAAAAGTGCACAAGCTGGGGGGGAAGGGAGAAGTAAGCGGAAGAGTCTGGGCAGCAGAACAGGGGGCACAATGTCATGGGGAGGGGCTGTGGTATGCTTGGGAGCCAAGGGACGACACTGACCCGGCGCGGGGAGGGCTGGTGGGGAGGAGCCAGCGAAGCCTTCGCAGAGGAGGTAGGGCTCCAGATAGACTCTGAAGGGCAGGTGGTGTTTGGCCAGGTGTAGAAGTGAAGCAGCCTACTGTGTGCTGGGGACTTTGGTTTCTGTGAGGAAACAATGAGAGGAGAGAGCAGGAGCTAGAGGTGGACCAGCAGGCCCAACCAGGCCATAAGAGCCTTAGGGGCCTGAGCTTGGCTGCAGCTGTGGGGCAGTATGCGGGTGCGCAGCCAGTGGTGGAAGGAGAGGGGGAGGGAAAGGGAAGAGGGAGGGGAGAGAAGAAGGGAAGGAGAGATGCAGGAGGTGGAGAGAGAAGAGGGAAGGAGAGATGCAGGAGGTGGAGAGAGAAGAAAGGCATTAAATTCGTACTTATCTGGAAACCATAGAAAATCACCGTAAAGAAAAGAAGTCATTCTTAATTACAAACCCAAATATAACCAGAGTTAATAGTTTAGTGGAATATATATAATATATATTATGGGTTATATAAATATATTACCATATTCTATATATGGTGTGTATATTATATGTTAGATATATATATATATATATCATTTTTTACCCTAGGAGGATCATATCTTTAACGTGAAGGTAAAACTTGCTATATCCTCATTTAAAGTTACTTTTTTCCCCCATTACTGGTCATCCTGAACTGTTTTTCCTGCCTTTTAGCCAGTTGCAATTTTTCCCGTGGAAATGGCTTCCTCCTTGTGGTCTTGACTTCTTACCGACTGATAGAGGTTTTTTGTATAGTAAGGATATTGACTCTTCATCTATAATAGATGATTTCCTCATGAAGCGTGAGTGTGACATGGGTGACAGTGATCTGGGGTCACGGTGGCAGTGGAGGTCGGGCCGTGGGTGAAGACAGTGGTGGAGGGACACAGAGTTCAAGATGGTTGTGAAGAAACAGGATGCAAAGCCAGCAGGAACTGGGATTGGTTAGATGCAGGAGGGGAGAGGCCGTGGGACTCTCTGGCTCCTGCTGGAGGGGTAGCCAGGTGGCAATGCCTCCCGCTGGGTATGAGGACAGGCAACAAGGACATGGTGCCCTGAGTGTCATAGTAGCTGGTGACACCACATGGCCAGTATGTTCTGTGCGTGTGTTGGGTACCAGACACCATGCGTGAGCTCTGCAGAGATGATCTTACAACTTTAGGAAATGCCTACAAAAACTCTGCGCAGCTTACAGATGTGGAAATGGAGGCTCCATGATTGATTTGCCTAAGGCTCCACAACTAGTAAGTGATACAATCAGGATTTCCTCTGGGGCCTGCCTGAAAATAGACGCTTGATACATATTCATTCTCTTCCCTTCTGTGCGGCATCCCTGGTGGCCCATGGCCCCCTTCCTCCACCTTCCATTGGTGCTTGAATCTTTAGCCCCACTCTGGTGTGCGCTTTAGTCCTTCAGTTCAATCTTTGGTGCCCCTGATGGCTGTTTCCAGGGCAATGGATGAAGGGACAAATCTCCATGTGGCTTAGGTTCTGTTCTGAGAGTCCTCTTGGCCTGAAGGTTGGTCAGCAGGGTGCCTGGAGGGACCCTTGGTCTAGAGCCACCTCTTCCCTCCTCCTCGACCCCGTCCCATCCCATTACCCTCAAGAAGGAGGCTGAGTGCCCACAGAGTGGACCCAGTTAGGATTATGAGATTTCCAAAAATCCAAAGAAAGAATGGCTCATCTAAATAAAGTTAGTCCTTTCTTTCTCGGAGAGTTAGAACTCTAAAACATCCACATAATGACTTGTGTTTACAAAATGTTTGCGCTTCACAGCGCATGGTCTTTGTGACATTCGCTGTTAGGTAGATCACCATTCTAATCCAAGGACACAGGGGAGCATGGCCTTGGGGTCAGACAGACCTGGGTGCATGCCCTGGCCCTGCCCCTTATCAGCTGGGTGACTTTAGGCAAGTTAGATACCCTTTCTGAAGCTCCATCTTCTTCCAGAGAATGAATGGCACATCTGCTCTTCTCTTTGTGAAATTGGGGAATCAAGCACACATACGTGTTTGGGGCTTGGACCTCCATCACTGGTAAACGATATTATTCCCATTTTAAAGACAAGGAAACTGAGGCTCAAGCAGAAGTAACTGGACAAAGATCCAGCTGCCCAGTGTCTCCAGTTGGATATGTATCATGAGCTTCATCTTCCCAAAGAATGAGGCTTTCTGGACTTTCAGGATGTGTTTGCTGAGCCCGAGGCCAGCAGGTCAGGGACCCCCTTTGTCAACTGAAGCAGACCGATCTAGCAAAGACCCCACGCTTCCCCCATCATTCACCACTTACTTCCAGGCACCACCTCTCACTCGGGCCTTGGGCTAGGATCTAGGGATGCAGCAGTGCACAGAGCTGCCAAAGCTCCACTCCCTTGGAGTTGGTGTTCTGGCGGGGAAGAGAAATAATAACAAAGAAATACGGATCAGGAAGTTGGGAAGTGACGTGAAGACAAATGAAGCAGGGGACAGAGTGACAGCGTTTCTCTTCCGGCCACAGAAGCCAAGGGTGCCCTGTATTTGAGATGTCCTTTGAGCGGAGAGCGATGGGGAGGGGGCGGGGCCTGGAGGAGGAGGGGCAGTGACAGAAGGGACAGCAGAGGCAGAGCCCTGAGTGGGGAAGCTTCGTGTTGGAGGGACCAGAAGCCAGGGTGGCTGGGGCAGAGATGCGGGCGGGCAGGGAGGCAGGCCAGGTCAAGCAGGGCCTCTGCGAGGGGTTCCGTTTTGCTCTCGGGGCAATGGAGGGCTGTGAGCAGGGCAGTGGCCTGTGAGTGAATGCACCCAGCACCCCCGGGCCTCACTTGGACAGTCCTCCGTAAAGCGGTGACAGGGCAGCAGATGGGCATCATCACGATGGCCCGTCTGTCTCATCCCTGGGCGGAGCCCCTCTGGTCACCTTTTCCAGGACCCCAGTCGGTGCAACACTGGGCCCAGAGTAGGAGTTTACCTAATGTTTAGTGAGAAAGGGAGGGAGGCAGGGAGGGAAGGAAGAAAAAGAGAAAGGAAAAGGAAAGGAGGGAGGGTGGGGGGAGCGAAGGAGGGAGGGAGGGTCTTTTCTTGCTGACCATGAGACACGGGAAGTAGAAATAGGGACTTCTCTTAGGGGTTTCTCTCTTGAGGACTGGGCTCATGCAAGCCGGGAATCTTCCTGTAGGTTCCCCTTCTCTCGTCACAGCCTGGAGCCCCCTGCACTGCCTGCATGTAGACACAGTCAGAGAGCAGAGCTACCCTGTGGCCCTTCACACGCTGGGGATGGGGGTGGCCCATCACCACCCCACAGTTCCCCCAGAGACGGTCTTCAGGCAGCAGGCTGCCTCATGAGGGACGAGCTCCCTATGGCCAAAGGTGTTGAAGCCACACGGAGGAAGGACTCCTGTCCTGAGTGGGATTGATCAGGCTGGGCGTCAATCTCAGAACACACTCTCTGTGGTTCTCTGTTGGAAGAGGAGCGGTATTTGCTGTCCCGCTCCTGCATCCTGCCGCAGTGGGCCAACTCTTTGGAAAGTGTCAGAAATGTCTGTCCTAGAGCCTCCTAACGCATTTCCTAGCAAGGAATCTGTAGAAGAACAATAGACTTCAATTGGATAAAAGGAAAAAACAGTTTATCTGCCTTGTTAGCTGGGTTACAACTCAGATAATTTGGATCAGTGGGGGGATACCGAGTCGGTGTAGAAGAGCTTGCTTGCTCTGCCAGCCTTGGTCCTTTAGGTGGAAGTGGCAGGAAACCACATTTAGGGGCTCCTCCTTGGTGCCCACCGCACTCCATATGCTATTTATCTAATCCTGCAAACGATCATGTGAAATAGAGACCCCCACTGTCCACCTGAGACGGATGAGCTCGGTGTGGTCCTGAGGCGGCCTGGGGACCTGGTTCCTAGGGCCCTGTCTAGCTTGGAGGATGGGGGGCTGCACTGTTGGCGAGCTTGCGCCCCATCCACACATCAACCCTAGATACACAAACTTGCCTGATGCTTAGAGTCCTCTAGGACACTGGTGAAAACACAGATCCCTTGGCCCCGTGGTCGCAGACCCTCTGAATCGGCATCTCCAGGGGAGGAAGGCAGAGAGCAGGAAGTTGGGGATACTCAGATCTTGAGCTCAGGACACAAAGGCTGCCGTGTCTGGAGAAGCCAAGTTTAATCGGCCTTCAGGGCCCTGCGCTGCTCCTTATGTGTGGAACACGTTGAGGGGCTGCCGCTCTTCTCCTTGGGTTTGCTCTGACGGTCAGTTAAGGCAGGGTCTTTAGAGTGTCGTCTAAATCTTGACTGGCATTGATCAGGCCCTCTGTGGGTATGCTTTCTCCTTCCTTCCTCTCTTTCACGGTCCCTTAAAAGTACATGACAGTTCCTAATCGCTTTATGCCTTCTTCCCAATAGAGGGAAATATCCTTAAAAGGAAGATTTTGATTAAAAACAAAAACAAAAACAAATCCCAGCTGATTCTGTGGGTGCAGGTGTCCGGGAAGCTAAGAGCCTGACCCACGCCCTTTGGGCCCAGCGTCCCTGCACACCTGCACAGTCCTGTGCCTCGGAGCTCTGTGCCTCTGGCAGCTTTGCCCAGCAGTCTGCACCAGCACACAGACGCCTAGCATCAGGGAGGAGAGCAGGAGGAGGGAGGCAACCAGCCTGGCAGCTCTGGTCTCCCGCCAGCCTGCAGTATCACAGGAAGGCCCGGGGAACAACGCGCGTCCCTCCCACCCGGACCCTCTGGGGGACTTGGCCATTCAGAGAACTCATGCTGCCTGGGCTCGGGGCAGCTTCCTAGGGCCCCAGATGAGGATGCTCTGCCCCGTGGCCCTGGGATACACCTGGTAGAACCAGGCAAGAAGGAAGAGGTGCTTGACAGCCCCAGGGATGCAGGGGCCAGAGCATTCTCGAGCTGCAGATGGGTTGTTTGAGGAATGCCCGTCCTTCTCATTGTTTGGGCCTCTAGAGAGCAACCTGGTCTTTGTAGATTTTGTTGAGTGGCCTTGTGCAACCCTGATATTGCTCTTCCTTTGTCAAACAAGCTTTACAAGCCCTTGGGCAAAACGTGTAGCAGATGCCCAGACAGCTGTGCCCTCAAGTCCAATTCCCCTCAGAAGGTACTCGGAACACAGGGGAGTCAGGGGCACTCTGCTTCGGGCACCTTGTTCGGAAGAACGACCACATTTAATATCTGTGAACTAGAGGGCTGGGTACATACAGGAGGGCGTTCTCACAGGGCTCGCACCTGACTCAAAGCATCCGCCAAGCCTGATTCTACCTTATCTCCTCCGTGGAGATGTCAGTGGTATTCGTGCATTTGTGCATTGAGGACCCTGGAGTGCAGGGAGAGGACACAGGGAGGTACCTGAGCACCCCTCTCCCCGTCTGCTGCCTCTTCCTTTTGTAATGGGGTATTGACAATCCCCAGCCTCTCTGACCTCAGTTCCTCATCTGTTCATTGAGGATAAGTAAGGGCGTCCTCCTCAGTTTACTGTGAGGATGAGCCAAGATGAGGAAAGCCTGGCTGGCCTGGGGTGGGGGGGCTCCCTAAATGGGCATTCTTCCTCCATCCCAACCCTGAGTGGGAGATCCCGTGAGCACCGGGACCTACCTAAGAAAGAACCTAACCTGTTGTGGTCTGTCCTGCCCTCACAGAAGTGGTCGACCAGAAGGCTGTGTATTTCTTCAACCTGACTTCTATGCAGGATTCAGAAATGATCCTCTCGGCCACATTCCACTTCTACTCGGAACCTCGGTGGCCCCGGGCACGAGAGGTGCCATGCAAGCAGCAGGCCAAGAATGCCTCCTGCCGCCTCCTGCCCCCGGGCCTGCCTGCACGCCAACACCTGCTCTTCCGCAGTCTCTCGCAGAACACAGCCACGCAGGGTCTGCTCCGCGGGGCCATGGCCCTGGCGCCCCTGCCACGGGGCCTGTGGCAGGCCAAGGACATCTCCCCTATCGTCAAGGCAGCCCGCCAGGATGGCGAGTTGCTCCTCTCTGCCCAGCTGGATCCTGGGGAGAAGGCCCCAAGGGTGTCCAGGCCAAGCCCCCACGCGCCTTACATCCTCATCTACGCCGACGACCTGGCCATCTCAGAACCCAATAGTGTGGCAGTGACGCTGCAGAGGTATGACCCCTTCCAGGCTGGAGACCCGGAGCCCGGCGCAGCCCCCAACAGCTCAGCAGACCCCCGGGTCCGCAGGGCCACGCAGGCCACCGGGCCCCTCCAGGACAATGAGCTGCCAGGTCTGGACGAGAGGCCAGCGCACGCCCCCCATGCCCAGCACTACCACAAGCATGAACTGTGGCCTGGCCCCTTCCGGGCGCTGAAGCCACGGCCAGGGCGCAAGGACCGCAGGAAGAAGGGCCAGGATATGTTCATGGCCTCCTCGAGGGTGCTGGACTTTGACGAGAAGACGATGCAGAAAGCCCGGAGGAAGCAGTGGGCCGAGCCAAGGGTCTGCTCCCGCAGGTATCTGAAGGTGGACTTCGCAGACATCGGGTGGAATGAATGGATCATCTTGCCCAAATCCTTCGACGCCTACTACTGCGCGGGGGTGTGCGAGTTCCCCATGCCCAAGGTAGGCTGTCTGAGCAGCAGCGCTGCGTTCAGCCCCTTGTCTGGCTGTGAGTCCCAGCTCTGCCCCTACTGGCAAGTCCCTCTGCCTGGTGACCTATTTCCCGGCTGTGAACTGGGGATTAGAACACCTCCCATCTATTCAAGGTGGGGGTGAGTAGGCAGAGGTCCTAGGGTGGCAGCCTGTCAGGGGAATACAGCCCACAGATGGATGTGGTTTGGCTGGGCTTTTGAAAGGGCTGACTTAGCTGAGTTTGAATTTTAAATCAGAACATGTCTTCCTTTGAAAAGCAGGAGATTTATGCAATCTGAAGAGAAACCAGAGTAGGAGAATCCATCTCCTTAGGTGTGTGTTCCCACATAGCAACTGCCTTACAGAGCCGGAGTACATGCTGCCCCCCCCCGGCCCCCCTGTAGGCAAGACAGGCCTCTAAATCCCCTTCCTCATCAAGGCTCTTGTTTCTATTCCTGGGCTGGACCTCAGGGCACTGGGGTCTGTGACCAGCACAGAGCTGGTCTCAGTGGCTTCCTAGTGACTCCTCCCCACCCCCGCCCGCCCCTGCCTCCCACACAGGACAGGGATCCACGGGGCAACTAGCTCTCACCGTGCACGAGTCTGCAGGAAAGACGGCATGCAGCTGTTTTATCCACCGGGCTGGCCCCGGGGTTTGTAGTGTCCCCTTCCCTCCGGGCTGGGTTGTGGCTCTGTCCGTCCATCTCCCCATGGCCAGAGCTGCGGTGGGCTGGCTGCCAGGTAAGGTCGGCCCTCCCCACACAGTGCACACTTCCCTCCTGCTTAGCTCCTCTGCTGAGTTTCAGGTCATTCTTTCCCCTTCAAGAAAGGAAGTCCGTGCATAAATCCAATTTGAAGGTAAATAAATCAGTCGGCTGGGATTTCCCAGCCACAGACCTGGGGCAGCATTAACCTGCTTGGGAATTAAGGGGCTTTCCTTGCATGTGCGAGAGAGGAAGGGAGGTGCCCGACAGAGAGACAGGTGTGGGCCGGCAGAGCCTAGCACAGGCCTGGGCAGATGCCGGATGAGCGGTGAGCAGGCTCCAGCTGGCTGACCCAGCACTTACCTTATCAGTCTGGCTGACGGCCTGCTGCCTTCCTTGACAGAGGGCTGAGCCCGCAAATCAGATGTCCCTACCTTGCTGTCCTACCCACGTCCCCACGCAAGGGGCCTTTCTCATCAGCGCACTACATATAAAACTTCCTTTGGCCCGCAATGAGGGGTAACTCCTGCAGCTTGGTCCTGTATCTCTTGTTGGAGGTGCTTGAGAACAGCATTCTCTGTGTTTGTGGTGGGATCCCGACTCCTCTGGGTGTGCAAGGCTGCCTGGGGAGAGAAAGAAAGCCCGCACGGCCCCTGCAAGCATGTTCTCCAGCTTGCCATGACTTTGGGCTGCTTCCTAACTGAGAGGTCTTAGATGGTCAAGTTACTTAGACATTTTAAGCCTCCACTTCTTCACCAGTAAAATAAAGGTAATCCCATCCCATACAACTGATACTATGACAAGATGGGGTGGTGAGGTGAAGCAGCCCCTGACACCCCACAGCCAGACCCGTCTGGGAAATGTGCATTCCAGCCCCATCATGCTGGTGTGCACACACGCCTGTGGGCCTTCCCCTCCAGTGCTAAGAACGCACTCACATGGGAAGCGTGTCGGAACTCCTGGGACTGGGAAATGTGGGCAGCTGTGGCCCGGGCAGAACAACTGGGCATCGCCCTCTGCACAGTACCTGCCCAGGTCCAGGGACTCCTTGGGGATGAGTGATGCACAGGTGCCCCCAAGTGGCCAGTCCTGTAGGGATGTAACTTCCCTCTGGGAGACCCAAAGGGCAGGAAGGACTGAGGCTTTTGCACACCTCCCTGGGACTCAGTCTGTGGCTGATTTCAGAGGAAATGTGTGCCCAGCCCTGGAATCTCACCTTTTCTTCTAGGCCGACACCTTTTCTGTGGCCTCCTCGAGGACATGCAGGTGGCACAGTGGGTGGGTGAGGGCAGAGCGCCTAGGTGACCGTGCTCCTTTCTTGCCTTGCAGATTGTCCGCCCGTCCAACCACGCCACCATCCAGAGCATCGTCAGGGCTGTGGGCATCGTCCCGGGCATCCCAGAGCCTTGTTGTGTTCCCGACAAGATGAACTCTCTTGGGGTCCTCTTCCTGGATGAGAACCGGAACGTGGTTCTGAAGGTGTACCCCAACATGTCTGTGGAGACCTGTGCCTGCCGATAAGACCAGCCACTCCGGGATGGAAGGAAACCTCCGTCCTGCTCCACACCCGAGCAGGGCAGCGTCCTCAGGGCCTTCTGGGGTGAGGGCTGCATATGCGGGCAGAGCTCACAGGCACCCTTGCCGGGTCCCAGAAAGATCTGTCCCCCCGGGGCCCATCCTGGGGTCTCTCATTGCTGATGACTTAGCCCCCTACATGCCAGTCTGAATCTCCTGAAGGGATCTGGGAATTAGCCTTCACCTGAAGGCTGCTCATCGTCCATCCCCTCTGCTCTGAAGACCTGAAAGCCGAACGGGTCCACCATGTTGGCTTATGTGACCCATCCTGTCATCACCGGGAAGAAGGCTGCAGATGTGAGGGGACCTGCTCTCTTCACAAGGGAAGAACCTCTGTCTAAACAGTCAGTTGAAAACACGTTGGGCCACATAGTGATACTGAAACGCAACGCCTAAATAGCGGTATGAACTTTGAAACTCCGCTGCAAAAGCTTTCACACATACAGTATGCACATATAACCAATCGTGGTTTCTTTTTCTTAATATATATTTTATTTTAAAACAAAGAGGAGGGAGTGGACACCATTCCCCATAGAGGTAATCAGGCTGGTTAAGTGTGCATTGTTTAAACATGTTTATTGAAATAACACATGCAGTAATATGTTGGAATACTAAAAAATAACCAAGATTTTTATATTTTTGTAAATTATACTTTCTATCCTGTAGATTGTGTATGCTATGTGTTTTTATGGAAAGCTAATAAATTAAAGGTACAGTGGTATCTTGAAAAACTGAATGTCACCCATTCCAAAATATGGATAGAGCCCCACCTACAAATATGACATGTTGGTGGCCGCTGGGCCCTCCGTTAGGAGCAGAGCCCCCCTGGGCCTCTCCACACCTGTCTCTATCCTAAGCTCCGGAAACCAGCTACTCCTATGCCTTCCAGCATCCTGCCCGCGTCCCCCAGGCAGGCACAGTGGTTTCACAGAGCTTCTTCACATCCTTAGCTTCAGAGGGGACATTGAGCGATTGAAAGGTGTCTGAGCCATTTAAAGGAACAATCTGTGGTGCCCTGGGTAGAGACCTCTTACTTGGGGCAGTTCAAGCAAGAGATTCAACGGGAAGCAGTCAGGGGCATCTCCTGAGGTCCAGGGGCTTCTGCTTCCTTGTCAGTAGCCCCATCCCCAAAGACCTTCCCATGAATGGTTCCTTTACCCCCGAGCTGACATCACCCCAAGCAGGCATCAACTCTAGTGCCTGAAGCTGATCGACCGGCATTTCTGAAGAAGAATCTGGCTCCGATTTGGGGCAGGTGTATAACAGCCCTTCAGGTGGGACCTGAGAGGATGATCCAGCCCCAAGTCTTACTTGGAGGAGATTGAGAAGCCATGAGCAAGTCCTCTGAGAGGGAACTTAGGAGGAGACAAGAAGCCCATGATGTCTATCTTAAGTCAGGCTCCTGAGCCGAGCGTGCCTGGGCAAGGGCTAGATGAGAAAGTGCTCCCAGGAAAAACAGGCAAGGAAGGGGAAAAGCTGGTCAGGAGGCCAAGAAGCCAGGCATCCCAGATCCTGGATCTTGTGGGGAGCTCTGGAGCTTAATTATACCTCAGGGTTCGCCCAGCCTTGAAGCAAGGGAGCTGGACATTCAGACCGCTTCTCCAGGTTGCTCCCGGGTGGGGAGATGGAAACTCCCAGTTCTCTGGCTCTCTTCGTGGGAGCTCTAGAAGCCCAGGTGGCCTCTGAAGGAGGCTGCGGTGGCTGTAGCCGGAGGCAGAGCAACAGACACTGGAAGGAGTACCCAGAACAGGTAGGTGTGGGGAGGGGGTCCTCAGGGCACCAAGTGGAGCCCAGCAGAGTCTGCTCAGCGTCTCCTCTGAGGTGCTCCAACTGGTCCTGGGACATGTGTGGGGACAGCGGCCCTGCCCAGGCAGACATCAGGTGAGGCAAGGGGGTGGTCCTGCAGGGACTGGGCTGGGCCTACAGGATCCGTTCTCTGGACTGGGGTGTCTCAAACTGATCTGCATATGGAGCGTCTGGCTCGCCACATCTGATCCTTTTTGGAACATAACAAGATATAAATTAATAGCAAAATGAATAAAAATATTGCGACGTGATAAGGGTCCCAATGCCTTTCTTCTCAATATAGATTCTTCCTTTTTCCTTGCCCCCCTCAATTTTTTCTCATACAGTGCTCCCCTTCCATGTCTTGATGAAGCTGGGGTGTCCTATAAGAGTTCTGTCTTATTCTTTCTGGCCTTCACAGTTCCTGGGAGATCTGGGTCACCACGAAATCCTACGGCTTCTGAGAGTCTTCATTTCTGGTTAACGAGGATGGGGGGTGGGCTGGGAGGATCACCCCTTTGTCCAGCCATGCCGAGGCTCCACGGTTGTGCCAGGATGGATGTTACCCAGCGGTGATGACTTTGGAGTGTGCTGGAAGGAGCTGGTGTTTTCGGTGACCGCTTTTATGAAGCACCATGAAGTTTAGATACGGCATCTTGTTTAGGCACGCAGCAACCTTGCAACTTAACTACCCAATTGGTGCCACAGAAAAACAGCTCAGGACGGGTAAATAATATGGCCACCACCAATGTCTTACCAAGACCGCGGGCCATGTCAGCTTTGACACCCAAGGCTGCCTGATTCAAGGCCTATATGGCTGGAGCTGCTCCCCAGCTTCCCGGACAGTGACCACCCCCCCTGCCACCAGCCAATCAGGGTTATCCCAATGGCACTGAGTGACCTTATAGTAAAGCAAGTTTTAGAAAGAAATGTTTGTATGAAACAATTTTTTCTTCCTTTAAAAGCCAACTAGCAGCATCACATTGTCATAAAAGCAAAAGGTTCCAGCACACAGCCTAGACGTGCATGGGTCCCTGAGGTCACCCAACTTCATCTGTGTCAGCTTGGAAGAAGCTGTGTGGTGGCTTGCCAGTGAGCCCTATTCCTGAATGTTTATATTCTCTGAAAGGGTAGGGTCTCATAGATAAATTCATGTGACAAATAGAGACAGTACAACTTAAGGCAGGGGGGAAACTTTGGAAAACTTCTGATGTAACCTTTTTTCCTAACAAGTGGGGAAACAGAGTCCAGGTGCTACCAAGTGTCTAGCCTGAGGCATTCCAACAGGTGCCTCTGTAGGTCTAAGTCATTCATAAAATGCCACACGAGCTGTAGCCTATAACTAATGCTTCTTCTGTGGCCAGGATGCATGCAGGGCCAGGCTGGAAGAGTCTGCAGAAGTCTGGGGTGGGGGTGGGCGGGTATGAGGAGGGGGCTCCAGTGGGAGAAGAATGGAGTTGATTCCAGCAGGATGGAAGAGCTGGACTGGCTGGTGGCGTAAAGACAATGTAGGTACCAGCTTGTGCAAAATGCATTTAGGGGCTAGACAGGATTCTGGGAAGAGGACCAGCAGGACAGGACCAGCTTGCCGGCCCTGGCTGTTCAAGGCTATTTCCTTTTACCAAAACCTAGAAACATAAAATCCTTCACTGATAAACTGGTGCCCCTGAGATTTTTATTCCCTTTCTCTCTTCTACTCTCGGAGAGAATGATGCTCATTCCAGCTTTCCAGTATTTTTCCTTCCCTCTCCATTCTAACCCCACCCTAAATCCCTCGCTGTGTGCCAGCAGTCCTGTCTATACGAGTAGGGGTGAGCAGGGGAAGGCACCTGTCTGTTCAATTATTTAGCGGCTACTGTGTGCCCCATCCCGTACTAGGCAGTATAGACATACTTTATCTCTTGGAAGACTCGTACAAATTTCCTCTTTTATCACATCCAATGTGCAGATTTGAATGTGCATCAGAGTCAGATGGAGGGCTTGACCAGGTTGCTGGGCCCTGCTTCTAGAGTTGCTGACCCAGGCCAAGATTTTGCATTTCTAACCAGTTGTCAGGTGCGGCTGCTGGAGGGCCAGGAACCACACTTTAAGAACCACTGTTCCAGTAAATGTGCTGACCAGCTGGGCACAGTCCTGAGACTGATGCCATCCGTGCCAGATGTGAGCAAGGTTCCACAGAGGCTAGGTTCAGAGCCAGGAAGGGACCTAGCTCCTGCTCTGCCTGACTCATTCTCTCTCCTTACAGCCTCAAGGTGGGTCCAGTTTTCATTCTCTGGGCAATGTGTGGGTAAGTGTGGAGTTTGAGCAGCTCACAGAAACAGGTGTCTTCATGGCATACCTTCTGGGACAGAGGCATTCCTGACCCCCTGGAGGCAGCTGTATCACAAAAATTCAGGCTGAGCCTGTCCCTCCTCCATAAATGAAGGCTGAAGTCTGTCTGCTGGAGCGATGAGCTTCAGCGGTCCTTGAAATAAATGGATGAGTCAGGTGTGCCTCTCTTATTCATTGAATTGTACTTCTCCCATAGCAATTGCACGTGATGACTCTATTTCTGTGATTCACAAGTTGTGGGAGAGATGGTACTACAGGGGCTTTGGTTAAACATCACCATAGCATTGTAATGCCAAACTCTCTGGGCATCAATTACGGACAGGAAGACAAGGCTAGGTCAGCAACCACCAGGGCAGAGCCAGCCTGACCAACACAATGCCTGGAGTACCCTGAGGTGTTCAAGGACATGTGCAGAGACGAGCATAGAGGCCTGCCCAGAGGAGCCGTCCGATCCACCATGAACACAGGGCCGGCTCTCTGGACGTGTCAAATTGCAGGAAGGATGTGCCAGCTCAAGCCAACAGCCGACAGGGGTCCTAGGGCCCGTCATAGTGGTTGTCAGATGAATCCAGATGTCTGAGTGCTGTCACTCAGAACACAGAGGCTGTGTGGCAGAGGGCAGTCCTGAGCAGGCACTAAAAGGCAGGGGGGACTGGCCCAGGTGGAGGGCAGTGGGGAAGAGTATGAGGCATTCCAAACCGAAAGCACACCTAAAGCAGGAGCTCTGCAGAAGGGAAGGGCAGAGCCACCCCAGGAGTAACAAAGACAGGGGTGGGAGATCAGACACTGTATAGACAAGAGCAAGAATGAGTACTTGCTGAATGCTTACTGTATGTCAGGCTCCGTAGTAATGGCACTC